ACACGCCAAACTCGAGGCTTCATAAAATCAGCCCACGATGACTACGTCCACTTCTTATAAACAGTCTGTGGTGCTGCCCCCTCGATTGTTCACATTGCTAACTACTATGAAGGCAATTATTTTCAAAGTAAGAGTGTTAGCTGGCTCTTATATATTCCAGCCCTCTGAACAGTTATCTTTATAACCTATAAAGATATTCACTGTTTCACTGAAAGCACGATGCCGTCCTGTGACTGTACCAGCTGCTTGTTAAAGAGTAGGAGACACAACCTGAGTGTGAATAAAACATGTAAGGGTGTATAGGAGAATGATGCCCACCTCCCCTTCCACCCTCCCTGTGTGGGTTGATGTGGTCTTTATACTTCCTGCTTCATGATGTCATGGATTACATTGGGATGAACCATGATTGGGAATCTACAAATTACACTGCATTCACTTTTTGTACGTATATCTATGATCACTGTCTGAGAACAGCCTGAGTTCGGACCTGTTTCACATTGAAATGTAGTCATTGAAATGACATTGAGGCTTCTAGAAACCTCTCAATGTTCAATTAAATTTCACGATCACAGTTGTTACCTCCACGCCTCAATGTCTTTATTACTTTCAAATCATCAAATCAATGATTTCTGGGAAACAGATGGTGAGACAAAAGAGAACCTGGGATCATTCTAAACATTAACACCTGTTCACTGCTTTGGTTAATGTTCTCTAGAACACAGCAGTGATGGTGGACCTCCACCTCACCGATGGTCAATGCATCCCCCCCCCACAGCTCACCTATCTGGACGGCGTCACCTCGGTGACCCTTAACCCCTAACTCTCCACCGCTGACAGAGGTTGGGTAACACTCCGTCCCTGCAGCGACGGTCTCTAAGCCCCGGAGGATTCCTCAGCCGGGGTCGGTCTGGATCCAGTGTGAGGAATGAGCTCGACGTGAGCCGCAGCTTCACCTTCTGGTCTCTTGGATGTATTTTGGGGAGTTGACATGCGGGTGTTGACTCTGAGTGAATGATGGAGTGATGAGGAGCTGCTGAACCACTTAGCTGTGAGTTCAACTCTGCGTGTTTCAGCCCGTTCACAACAAATCACATCACATGATGCTGAGTTTGTAGGAAATTCAAATAGATTGTGTCTCCTCTTCAAGACATCCATTGATTTTTCACCTCAAAATGCTGCAGCATTGACTCAAAGACGTCTACATTACTGTGATGATTACACAGCACAAGCAGCTTTCATTAGTTCTGCTATTTGAAAGAGAACTGGAAACCAATTTGAACATAAAAAACATCCAGAAATCTAAAGCTGATGAGCATAAATGTGACGATGGTCAGCGAACATGTCCATAATGTCCATAACTAAAGAGATGAAATGTGCAGATGTGGTTCTAAAAGATTAAACAACTTCTTCACTGCAGCTCAAAACGGATTTTGTTTAAACTCCAGCAGCTGATCTGAGTATGATATACACACTCAAGTACTTTAGTTTAGTTTACTTTAGTTTACTTTAGTTTAGTTTACTTTAGTTTAGTTTACTTTAGTTTAGTTTAGTTTACTTTACTTTACTTTAGTTTACTTTAGTTTAGTTTACTTTAGTTTAGTTTACTTTAGTTTAGTTTACTTTAGTTTAGTTTACTTTACTTTACTTTAGTTTAGTTTACTTTAGTTTAGTTTACTTTACTTTACTTTAGTTTACTTTACTTTAGTTTACTTTACTTTACTTTAGTTTACTTTACTTTAGTTTACTTTACTTTAGTTTACTTTAGTTTACTTTAGTTTACTTTACTTTAGTTTACTTTACTTTACTTTACTTTAGTTTACTTTAGTTTAGTTTACTGTAGTTTAGTTTACTGTAGTTTAGTTTAGTTTACTTTAGTTTACTTTAGTTTAGTTTACTTTAGTTTAGTTTACTGTAGTTTAGTTTAGTTTACTTTAGTTTACTTTAGTTTAGTTTAGTTTAGTTTACTTTAGTTTAGTTTAGTTTAGTTTAGTTTAGTTTACTTTACTTTAGTTTACTTTAGTTTAGTTTACTGTAGTTTAGTTTAGTTTACTTTAGTTTACTTTACTTTAGTTTACTTTACTTTACTTTACTTTAGTTTACTTTAGTTTAGTTTACTGTAGTTTAGTTTAGTTTACTTTAGTTTACTTTAGTTTAGTTTAGTTTAGTTTACTTTAGTTTAGTTTACTGTAGTTTAGTTTAGTTTACTTTAGTTTACTTTAGTTTAGTTTAGTTTAGTTTAGTTTAGTTTACTTTAGTTTAGTTTACTGTAGTTTAGTTTAGTTTACTTTAGTTTACTTTAGTTTAGTTTAGTTTACTTTAGTTTAGTTTACTGTAGTTTAGTTTAGTTTACTTTAGTTTACTTTAGTTTAGTTTACTTTAGTTTAGTTTAGTTTAGTTTACTTTAGTTTAGTTTACTTTAGTTTAGTTTACTTTAGTTTAGTTTACTTTAGTTTAGTTTACTGTAGTTTAGTTTAGTTTACTTTAGTTTAGTTTACTTTAGTTTAGTTTACTTTAGTTTACTTTAGTTTACTTTACTTTAGTTTACTTTAGTTTAGTTTACTTTAGTTTACTTTAGTTTAGTTTACTTTAGTTTAGTTTAGTTTACTTTAGTTTACTTTAGTTTAGTTTAGTTTACTTTAGTTTACTTTAGTTTAGTTTACTTTAGTTTAGTTTAGTTTAGGAAAGGTTAGCAAATACAAATATATCAATCTACTAGTGTGATCATCGTGGCAGCAGATGTTGAGCAGCGCTCCCTTCTTTCCTCGGACTGATCGTCTGAGGATCTCCGGAGGATCTCAGGAGCCATGTTGTCTCTGGTTGCTTGATTCTTTGCATCTCCAAACTTCCAAACTGAACCCCAAACAGGATGAGGAAGACAAACATTTCCTGCAGCCTCCTCCTCCAGATGTGAGATAACGGAGCCGGGACTTTGTTTGTTTTTTGGACTCAAGCTAAATGTCTCAGTGGCGAAGCCAAAATTGACTTCCTCCGACCGGCACATCACACTGAGATAGTGGAGGACTGACAATGACACATGATGGAAAACACAAAACTCATGAAAAAATGGTTTGGTTTGTCCGTCCTGAGCTACTGTAGAAACATGGCGGTGCAGACTGGCTGCCTCTGTGGAGGAGGACTATGGCTCATTCTAAGCCAACACATTTCTTATTTTCATGTGATTATAAATAAATAATAAATCAAATGGGGAAAGGAGGTCTAAAAGGGTCCAGAATGAACTGAATCAAGAGGCTGAGAGCGTCCTGAATACAAGAGTGAACGATAGAGTGTGACAGAAACTCATCACATGCTGACCATGAACAGCGCCAAACTAAAGGCAACCGTGTTGATTTAATATATATTTATAAGAACAGCTGCTTATAAACTATGGATCAACCTCAGTACCAGCTGATCAATAATCATGTGGAGACCCCCTCCGTGGATCCTGGTCAACCTTCCAGGACCCCAAGGACTCCTGAAAGTCTCCTCAAAGACTGATGGAGGCCGACAGAGGAGAGGGAG